ACACACACACTCACACACACACATACGCGCATCGTTTACGAGTAATACCACTGCGACATAAGGCACAGCCTTAATAATCTAAGTTTTAATTTTTGTTTCTTCTATTTTACCAGCTGTTAAAAACAATGTTTTTATTTCCGTTACTCACGCCTTTGGACTTTAGGTTACTCACAGCTATTAATGGTGGATGGTTGGCGGGCGCTCTGGTGTGGTTTCTTCCTACTTTCCTATTAAACATCTGTCGTCCTCATTTCTTCTCCTTCTTTTCTTTATTAAATATGTTGCTCCCTTGTACCACCTCTGCTCTTCAGCACTTGTGTTGCAAATACGGTAAAACCTTTATACTCTAACTAAAAGCAACGCTTAATTTTTCTTTTTAAACTTAATAACGGAATTATCTTCATAAACTTACCGGTGTCTTTGGTGTAGCGGGCGTCGCATGCTGAAGGCCTGAGTTTGTTTCCTGGTTGTGGGGAGCTTTTTTTCTTTTCGAAATTATCTCTATCTTTCTGTTGTGTGGCCTTGTGGGTACACTATTGGTGAAATTGCGGGTTCGGAGGTTCGAGCCTCAGCTCGGTCCAACGGTGTATCCTCGGGAAAGGCACTTTACACGAATTTCCCTTTCGGCTCAGTCCTTTCGGAGATAGACGTTAAACTCGGAGGCTCATTCTCTTAAATAACCTAAGAGTGTTGATAGAGGCGTTAAACCTACACAATTTCACCACGAAATTTTTTTTTCTGCTGGGAAATATCTTTCTCAGCCCGGGTTGGCTGTTACAGGCAGTGTTGAAGCAGCCCGCCTTCTTAATGATTTAAATTGTGTCGATGGATAAAACAAAACCCCCAACATTACAAAAATCCAAGACCAAAACAAAATCAGCAAGCTTTCAATAAAGTGACTTAACTATAATATAATGAATATATTTCATGCACATAATATAATGTGCACTATAGTGATTTATGTGTTTATTTTGGTATGCTGTTCCATTAAAAAAATGGTGTCTATCTCTTCTCTTCTTCATAACGACTACAAAGCCAAGTACTCGCTTTCTGGAGATACTGATGATGATGATGATGATGATGATGATGATGATGATGATGATGATGATGATGATGATGATGATGATGATGATGATGATGATGATGATGATGAAAATGTG